TGGAGCTGTTCCTATTCGGCCATCTTGCTCCGCCCCTTCTGGGGTCTGGGGTCTTTAACAATTATGAGGCACCATGCTGTGCTCTAAGGATGCAGTGAGCAAGAGAGACACGGCTCCAGCTTTCACTCTACTGAGTCTGTGGGGGAAACTTACACAGTTTGCACCAGAGGTTCTGAAAGTGTGGTCTTGGAATTAGCAGCAGCAGCATCATTTGGGAACTTGTTAGAAATGCAAATTCTTAGGTTCCACCTCAGGATTATTGAATCCCAAACTCTGGGGGCAAGCCCACTGTTCTCTTTAAACAAACCTGCCAGGTAGTTATGTTGCACTCAAATTTGATAATCACTGGTTTAGAAAAATGACCTGAGACTTCCTAGGAAGATTTTGCAGGTGGTCTAATGTCAGGCTAGTAGAGTATTCTAGGATGTTATGTAGGATGAGACTGTCCCAGTTTGAGAACTAAAGTCCTGAACCCCAGGAAACTGCACAGCGTCAAGCTAATCGGGACAGTTGTTCACACTGTCAGAGGCATTTTCTTCTAAGTGAGTTCCCTCACACTGTGTCCCTCTTAGTAGTTAAGTTGGTGATGATTGGCTGTCTCAAGACATGCCACATTCTTCTGCCTATTGCACTGCATAGTTTAATTGATGAGGCTCTCTGCACCTTCTCCGCATCCTGAACCTTTCTCCATCCAGCTAAGGTGAGAAGTCCTCACCTGCACAACCTTTTGTCCTGTTTGCCCAGGGCCCTAATTAACTATCTTCCTGGTTTGTCTCCTGCTATCTGGTTACCTGGATGCCCTTACTTGCTGCCTCCCGAGTTATGGACAAGTCCTTAGAGATTCTATTAAAAGTTCCTGTGGTTGAGGCTACATGACTTTTGGGAACTTGAACATTTTACAGTTATGGACACCTTCCTTCTTCAAAACATTAAGAATTAAATTTTATGATTGCATTGGTAAAAAGATAATATTCCAGACTGGATTATATTCTTTCTCTTCTTCCAATTAAAAACAAATTAAAACATATCTACAGGCTCCTAAAGTATATTGGTTGCCTGCCCCTACACCTGCTGTGCCTGATGGATACGCTTGCCCTGCTTGTGGCTACAGACTGTCTCATTGTGATGTAGATCCACATTCATCCCCTGGCTTCTGTTCTGAACCAATTTGGTCTGGTGTTTATTTTCATCCTGTTGACTTATTTTTACACTGACCCATCTCTTTAGACTGAAAATTTCACTGACTTGTCTCCTTCAATTTAGCTTTCAGCTTTACTCCCAGCTGCTATCTTTAGAATTTCGTTGAGCTCCTTCTTGTGAGCTCACACGCCATCCCTGCCCACCCTACCTTCATCCCAGCTCCCTGACACTAAGTACCGTGTCCTTGGTCCCTGGTCATCTAGGACTTGGGACAGCTGCCTGCTTGGCCAATCCTCTGCTCAGCCATCAGTCATCAGATGATGACTCAGGTACAACTGCTCACATGATCTAGGTTGAGTGTTTTCCATTTAAACCTTTTTTGCAGCAAAATCCTGCTTTCACATACACACACGCACACACACAGACACATATACACACACAATATGGAATCCTAAATATATAAAACATGTTAAAAAGTTGTGGCTGGGTATGGTGGCTCACATCTGTAATCCCAACACTTTGGGATGCCAAGGCGAGTGGGTTACTTGAGCTCAGGAGTTTGAGACGAGCCTGGCAACATAGTCAAGCCTCATCTCTACAGAAAAAATTAGCCAGGTGTGGTTGCACATACCTGTGGTCCCAGCTACTTGGGAGACTGAGGTTGGGGGATCACTTGTGCCTGGGAGACAGAGGTTGCAGTGAGCTGAGATCTTGCCACTGAACTCCAGCCTGGGCAATAGAGTGAGACCCAGTTTCAATTAATAAATTAAATAAATAAATAAATAAAT